ACCCATCAGGTGGGTTGCTTTCAAAAGGACATCCTGTTGGTGCAACTGGATTAGCACAGTGTATAGAATTGGTAAATAAATATTTATTTATCTATCTATTTATATTATTTAGTATCCACATGTAATAATAATAATAATGCAATATAATTAGGTATGGCAATTACGAGAATGGGCAACAAATCGTCAAGTTTCAAATATTAAATATGCATTACAACATAATCTTGGTTTAGGTGGTGCTGTTGTAATTAGCATCTATAAAAAACCAAAGTTTTTTTTCATTAAATAATAATGTTGATGGCAGAAAAAGATTAGGTTATAATCCTGCTATTGAATCAAAAGGTATTACAACCAATGATTTAGATAAAGTAAAGTCTAAAAGTGACTATAGTAATTGGTTTTATTCAAAACTTTAAATTGTGAATTATTGAAATTTTTTAAAAATGAATAAAATAATAAATCATCATCACATTTTAGCAATTTTATATTTTAGCTTCATCCATATAATTCATTCATCAAGCCTAATCTAAATCATTTTTAAATTCCTAAATATTAAATTTTCAACATGCAAATAATTAAGGTAGTTTTTGCATGGATCCAAATGTGCTCCAATTAATCTCACTCGTGGCAGAAGTTTAGCAATTTCATTCAATAAAGAATAACAGATAATCAAACTTGGCAACGAAGATTCATGGTACAAAATGACGAATTATATAGACGAATTAAACAAATTTAGTTGTGAAATGGATCAAGTAAGGGAAACGAATTATTTGAATTTGTTGGTGAAGTGGGTTATTTAGAATAAAATTTGTCAAATTGCAGTCAAATGTCATTCCATCTAGAGAATGATGGAAGAGTATGAAGCAACCTTTTATTCCTCAAAGGGGTTAATTAATCAAAGTGGGAACGTTATGAACTCATCAAAAAGGTGAAAATTATCAATGGTGGGTGTAAACGGATGCCCATATACTTTTCCGCAAAAATACACGGTTATCCGATAATGTGATACAAAATTACCCTTTAGAATATCATACGAA